GGGAGGGGACCAGCTCATAAAAGCAAAATGAATCCTAGAATTAGAAAATCACTGTTTTGCAACTCTCAGTATGGTAACTGATTCAGGCAAGGATAGTAAATGGATGCTAAAACTATTGGGTGAAATGTTGTGGAACAAATATTCTAACAATCTCATAGTGTTACTCTAGAGATTGATTATTGATTGATTACAAAAGGAGAAAGATTACAATAGAGAAATATGGGAGACACCTCCTTGACCAAGTGATCTACCTTCACATGACCAGTAATGAGAAAACTGATCAAATTGGACATATCATCTAGATGGTATTCTTGCCACAAATGTTTATGTAATATTGAGGAAACAACCACACAAATCCAAGTTTTGTGACATTCTTCAAGATAACTGCCCTAGATTCTTCAAAAATACCACTGTCATGAAGGACCAAAAAAAGGCAGGGAACGGTTCTAAGTCATGACAACTAAGTACAATGTGTGATCCTTGATTAGATCCTGAGTTTAAAAAGAAAAGCTATAAAGAACAATATTCGAACAACTGGTGAAATTTTAATAGGACTGTGTATTAGAGCGTATTATTGTGTTACTGTTTAATTTCTTGGGTGAAAGTAATAGTATTGTAATTCTTTAGGAAAGTGACTATCTGATTATAAAATCAAAAAATCATTGTAGGGAAAAAATGAAGTCTTTATAGGACCCCACTACCTGGGATAACCAGTGTTAACACTTTGGTGTATTTCCATCCAGTCCACACATATTTAAACAATATTTAATTGAACCACAAATAGTTTTTTATGTTGCTTCTTTTTCTTCCATATTATCAGTAATTCTCCATTTCTTTAAATAGTCCTTAAAAACATTATTTTAAATGGCTATGTAATATCTCTGTAAGTTTTCTTATTTTAAAGTTTAAAATATTTTATGAGAATTATTGTTTATTACAGGTAGTCCTCGACTTATGACAGAGATTTGTTCCATTGACTCCATCATAAGTAGGTTCTGATGTAGTAGAATACCTCTTTTTTTTTTTTTTAGTTTTCATTACTCTTGCCTTTTATTATCAGTATCTTTATAAATTTGATCTTTATTTGTCTTTGGTGGTTGGCATGAGAATGATAACATCAGCAAATTATGTGCTGCAACATTGTATGTAGTACATGTTACTAACAATAAGATGTACCAAAAAAAAAAAAAAGACAGTTACAAGTGTGGTTCATTGTAACAAATACGTCGTAAGTCAGGGACTACCTGTACCATATGCCATCCAGTCTAATGTGCATCAGTTGTAGGAGCCCATTATTTTGTATGGGAGCCCGGGTGGCACAGTGGTTAAGAGCTTGGCTGCTAACCAAAAGGCACTGGGCAGTTCAAATCCACCAGCCACTTCTTGGAAACCCTCTGGAGCAGTTCTACTCTGTACTGTAGGGTCGCAATGAGTCAGAATCGACTCAACGGCATCACTAATTCAACCACAAACTCTTCCCTACTGTATAAATCTTTCATTATATTTGGAGATATTTGGAATTTCCATCTTCTTGAAGAGATTTTTCCCAGAGCCATGTGCTAGATTGTGTGCTTGAGATAAGTGCACAGATAATCTTCTCCCAACTAAGGATCCAGCTTCCTCTTTTCTAAGGTATCCTGTTTCCTGGATTCCCTAGCTTTCTCTTTCTTAGTTTATTCCTTCATTTTGATGGGGTGTCCCATTGACTTCCTAAGAAAGTCATGTGAGTCAAGTATTTTTGGGACTTCACATATCTGAAAATTATTTTGCATCTATACATAATTGACCATTTAGACTAGTATAGAATTCTACATTGGAAATTAATTTTTTAATTATTTTTTTTAAACTTAAAAGCTTTTCAGAGTAAACAACTAAATACTTAAACCATTTTGTACAGTTCAGTGTTGTACCAATTTGTAGGTAGCTTACTTTTTTTCTTAATTCAGTTTATTATTTTTTGAACACTTTATACATTCATGTGGTAAGGAGAATTTTAATAGTAGGAAATATATACATATATTTATGTTTCCATCCTGTCTATGACCCCATCTGCCAAGTTCCTACCCCTGTAATAATTATTTCTGACTTTTTCTTAAGTATTTTTCCAGGGCTTTCTTATGTATATATAGAAGCATATTTGATTATATATTCTTCTTCTTCTCCCCTTTTTTAAACAAATGCTACTGTGCTCTATGTACTGTTCTAGGTCTTGCTTTTTTCCTTAGCAATGTATCTTGGAGACATCAGTATCAGTACATGGATCATTTCCTCATTTTAAGAAAATAGCTGCATAGTATTCCATTGTGTAGATATGCCATTATTTTTTTAAACTGGTTCCCTATTTCAACAGAAGCAGGATTTCTTTAAATAAATGCCATGGCATATGCACCCATATCTGAGGGTCTTCAGTGGACTCCCAATCTTTAAGTGTTGCTTTTGTTGAAAAGAAGCTAAGAATATTGGCAGTTAGTTACTGGCCCCAATCCCACAGAAAGTTGGTTTTTCTAAGCTGGAAATCTGGAACCATTTACACTAGACTCATTAAAATGGTTATTAATCACAGTTATTAATCATTAAGATGATTATTGATGATGGTTACTTTTTGTTTTCTATCTTTCACACAGAGCTTATTCACATAGCATTTTTGGTATAGCAAAATGAGATGCAAGGAACCAAAAGTGAGATAATACAGAAATAAAATTGGAAGATCATCAGCCATCAAGGACCCAATGGAGAAAGCAGGGTGAGTATGGTGTGTTGTTAAGAATTAATTTAATTATAAACAAAAATCAGAGACTGGGTCAGGAAAAGAAATCATGACTTGTTTCCCCTAAGTCCTGTTAATACTTCTAAACTGGGCCTGATTCAGGCCAGACCACAAAGCAAGTCCATGGAAGAGAAAAGATGCCTTGGAAAGGACTTTCACATTAACTTTTTAGGTTACATATGAAGCCGTGGAGTTGATTTATGAGTTGTTCAAAAAATCATGCAGGAAAAGGGTTCGATTTTATAAATCTCTGAATCCCTTTAGTTACTGTGAATATTTTTCAAAAGAAAATTTGGGAAGGTAGCCTATCAAAGGATTTTTGTCCTGTCCTGGGAGGTGGTTTAAAGCCAAAATATTGGAATTTTGAATACATTTAGTGATTTATGGGGGAAGTAGGGTAGGTTATATAAAATTGGTACAGTCTAAGAAAGTCTTGATTGGTCTCCATGAACGTGGCATTTAGGCATCATTGAAAAACAACCAAAATCTATCTTATTTTTCTGTATACTTCCTTTTGATTGCTTTTTATTGCCTCGTTACATATCTTCCCTGGACCTTGTTTTTCTCATCTCTAAAGTTTCTTCCAGCTTTATGATTCTCTTACACAGTGCATTTCAGACTTGTCTGTCATCTTTCTTCAAATCCTCTTCTGTAGAGGTTCTTGATTGGTGCTTTGAGGGCTATAATTGATCCTCTTCCTTCTTTCTCTTCCTCTTCCTTCTTTAAGGACCTTTCTTAGACCCTAGGAGGCACTCAGGGTTGCTTCCCTCCTCCAGGGACTAGCCTGCTTTTGTGGCCTTCCAGTTGGCTCCACCCCAAGAGCCAGTGACAAAGTGGAAACTTGGGAAATATCCAGTGGATGTTGCTGACTTAAACCAGATTCCTTAGCTTTACTTTAGATAGCAGTTATAAAAGACAATTATCATTTGATACAGATACTTCTTTTTTATTTATTTTACTTAAAGATACATTTTTACCTAAACATACATTTACTTTATAAATATGAACCCACACCCCCATCTCACCTGCATTCTAAGCCACACTGTGGAAATTTGTCATTATTTTACAAGTTTAGAAAAGATGGAGTGCAAACTAAATCTTCTATCCTGAAAAACGTTTTTAATTAAGCCTGTTTATTTTTTTTCTTGGTACCAGGAAGACTTCATATAGTCTTCCTCATCCAAACACCACCACTAATAAGGCCAGTGGTGTTTGTCAAGGTGGCAGCTATGTTTCTATGCCCTTGTATATCAAACCTGGAATAGAACTCTTCTGGGAAAGGGGAGCCCTGGTGGCACAACAGTTAAGCACTTGGCTGCTAACTGAAAGTTTGGTGGTTCAAACCCAGCCAGAGGTTGTGTGGGAGAAAGACCTGGTGATCTACTTCCATAAAGATTATAACCAAGAAAACCCTATCGGGCAATTCTCCTCTGTCACACCAGTTCACTATGAGTTGGAATTGATTTGATGGCACCAAACAAACTTAAACTAGTGTGTTTGAGTATAGAAAAATACTTGTTTGGTTCTTTTATACCAATAGTTATGAAAAGATATTGTATGTTTCTTTAATAACTGTCTTCACATATACGTGTCTGTGTGTATTTGTGTACCTTAATAAGTGAGCTTATGCCATGACACATTTATGACCATGAGAGTAATTCATCTGTCAACAGAACTGAGCCTTCTCTCACTCCGATTTCTGTTCTTTACCCTCAAACTCTACTGCAGCCAAAACACATGTCTAAAATAGCAGCCTAAAATCGTCAGCGATTTGCTTTTAGGTAAGCCCAGTTTTGTTTTGTTTTTTCCTTTTCACTTTTCTGGCTTGATGTTGCTTTACTTATTTTTTTCTTAAAGTTTAGGAAATAGCAAAAAACGCACAAGTATACTTCTGCCATATTGATAACTTGTATACCTTTCTAGTTTTTTCTGTGTACATGTAGTTTTTTTTTTCTTACAAAAACTAGATGACATGTTGTTGAATAGTTTTATAATCTTCATTTCACTTGACTAAACATATTGTGGATATTTATCATGATACCATTTTTTTAAACATGTAACAAGGCTCAAAATTTTAAGTTTAGGAAGGATAGAGTGAAAACTAATTCTTCTGTCCTAAAGAACATTTTTAAGGACTGCATAATAGTACATTCTAAGGTATCATTTTTAATTCATTTCTAGTTGTTGGCCTAAGGTGGGGATTTAGTTGTTTTTGTTGTTACTTGGTTTATCTTTTTGCTATTTATAAACACTGGTTGAACATCTTGCAAAAACGACTTTGAGTAAACTGTGGTTTGTTTTTTAGGAAAAATTCCTTGAAACTTTTTTTTTTTTTTTTTTGCTCTTCTGATTTCTTCCTCTCTGACCTTGCTGTTTCATCATCTCTTTTTCCTGCTTCCAATTGCATTCATCACTCAAACTTCAACCACTGTTCTTTTGCCTTTGCCTACCACTTCTTAATGTTCTCAGATCGCCATATTAAAGGCCCCATTCCTTCCCCACATTCTGTTGTCTCTCTAGGTGCCACAGCTGAAAGATCATATCCATAATATACATCCTTCTTCTTATTTTCAGTTGAACCATTTGTTTCTGTCTTTGGGCTTCAGAGAAAGATTTAATCTGAAGATTAATCCTGCAGCAAAAAAATTCTGAAAACTGCTGTGGTATAAGCACTGCCTCTAAATTTCACGGGTGAAATTGCTGCCCTTCCCTTGAAGAAGTACTGTTAAAACAAAAAAGGATAGGTGAGGTTGTCTGGGGTCATAGGGGGACTGGGTTAAAGCTTTCAGTGATTGTTAACTATCAGGCTGCTATTTTAGGAATGTTTTAGCTCCAGTAGATAAAAGTAAAAAAGGAGCCCTGGTGGTGCACTGGTTAAGCACAGTGGTTAAGCACACTGGTTAAGCACACTGGTTAAGCACAGTGGTTTGAACTCACCAGCAGCTCCACAGGAGAAAGATGTGACAGTCTGCTTCCATAAAGATTTACAGTCTTGGAAACCCTATGGGGCGGTTCTACTCTGTCCTACAGGGTTGCAGTAAGTCAGAATCAACTTGACAGCAACGAGTAGCTAAAAGTATTTCTCTGCCTCTTTTTCAAGTTATTAATTGGGTTGAAGTTAGTGTGACATTTTGGGTTAATGATCTGGAGGTTCTAGACCATCTCGGTCTCAAAAAAGGACCAGAATATACACATTAATTCTTCTTGACCATATCTTATGTTCTTAAAATACTATGAATAGTATAAATTCCTGTTTGTTTAATTATTTGGAAACATGATTGGGTTAGATATTTGAAAATAGAGATGCTTGTTTTTGTAAAATTTTGAAATTGAGATAGCAAGATAACATCAAGTTTTTCTTTCCCCTTTTTTGGCAGGGATTGAAAATAAAGTGAAGCAGTGTTTTCTTGTATGTGTTGCAGCGGGCCTTCTAAAATTTAACTATGACTGTTCTTTCTTCTGAGAACTGCTCTTCTCAGTACCAGGTACATCAAACACACCAGCCCCTAAATGTTAGCAGTCTGCTGTTCTTGATTACATTTGGGAAAACATTATTAAATATCCTCACCCTAGGAATGAGAAGAAAAAACACCTATCAAAATTTTATGGGATATTTTTGCATTTCACTGGCATTCATTGATCTTTTCCTTTTGGTAAACATTTCCATTATATCCTATTTCAGGGATTTTGTACTTTTAGGCATTAGGTTTACTAAATACCACATCTGCCTATTAACTCAAATTATTTCCTTTACTTACGGCTTTTTGCATTATCCAGTTTTCCTGATAGCTTGTATAGATTATTACCTGAATTTGTCTAAAACCACCAAACTTCCATATAAATGTCAAAAATTATTTTATTTCTTTATAGTAATTTTAATTTGGATTTCAGTCCTTGCTTATGTTTTGGGAGATCCAGCTATCTCCCAAAGCCTGAATGCACAGAATGCTTATCCTTATCAATGTCCTTTCTATATCAGTGTTCAGAGCTACTGGCTCTCATTTTCCATGGTGATAATCTTATCTGTGGTTTTAATAACCACTTGGTCAGAAGTTGTTACCTTGGTACAGGCTGTTAGGGTAACTTCCTATATGAACGAGGCTATCCTATATTTTCCCTTTTCATCCCAGTCTAGTACCATGAGCTGTAAAAAACTACTCTTGCCCAAGCTCCTTATCTGTTTTCTCAGTACCTGGTTGCCGTTTGTACTACTTCAAATAATCATACTTGTACTTAAAGTACAGATTCCAGCTTATATGGAGATGAACATTCCCTGGCTGTACTTTGTCAATAGTTTTCTCATCGCTACAGTTTATTGGTTTAATTGTCACAAGCTTAATTTAAGAGATATCACATTACCTGTGGATCCATTTGTGAGCTGGAAATACTGCTTCATTCCACTTAGAATTCATAATCTTGAGAAAATTGAAAAGCCTATATCTATAATAATCTGTTAATATATGTTGCCATGTTAAAACTAATCAAAACCGACGACTACAAGAAGAATCATAATTTTATAAACAGGAGTGAATGAGCACTCAGGATATATAAAATGCTTAGTTACATCTTGGTGTGGTGGTGACTCTGAGGGTTTAATCCTCAACAACGTGAAGAACTAAATATGAACTGAACTGAAACTCCCCCCATTCCAACTTTTGTACCTTTTTAGAATGTGTCTTTTGAGGCTATGATATTATTTGCTAAACAGTGTTTTATTTTAAAAACAAAAGAATTCCAAGAAATGTTTTATACCTGTTCAGGAATGTTTATTACAAATATTAATTTGTTATTAATACGAACATGGAATGAGCTGACATTTGGCCATATTGATGTTTGTGTTACCCAAAAAGCACTGGATGCAAACTATTATGTAAATCTGAGAATCAGGGCCAGCTTTAAGATATGAACCTAAATAAACATGTTTATTAAATTCAAAGCAACAAAATTAAGATCATTTTCTTATAGTGATTTGGTAAAAATATTCTGTAAGAGAAAGGTTAGCTCAATTTAAACTTAGCTAATTTTTATAATATATCCCTGTTCTTAATACAGATATTCCTGGGAGAAAGGAGTTTGGGTTGCTCACCCTACAGAATATTGGGAGTAGTGACTACATCTCTTTCCTGACATAGCAGATTCATTTTCATTTGTAACTTATATGTCACATTCTTGCATGTCATGTCACCACGTTATCAATGCATCACACTGTAAAACTAAAGCAGGGTTTCCAACCTCAGCACTACTGACATTTTGGGTCACATAATTCTTAATTGTCTTGTGAGGGGCTACCTTGTGCATTATGGAGCCCTGGTGGCACAATGGTTAAACACTTGGCTGCTAACCAAAAGGTTGGCGTTTGAATCTACCAGCTGCTCCATGGGAGAAAAGACCTGGCAATCTGCTTCCATACAGATTACAGCCTAGGATACCCTTTGGGCAGGTCTACTGTCATATAGGGTCGCTATGAACGAATGGACTGGATGGCACACAAAAACATCAACCTTGTGCATTGTAGCGTGTTTAGCAGCATCCCTGCCTTCACGCACTAGATGCCAGTAGCACCAGTTGTGACAATCACCAGTCTTCAGAAAATCCACACATCTATGGTCAACTGATTTTTTACAAGGGTGCCAAGTCCATTCGATGGAGAAAAAAGTATTTTCAATAAATGGTGCTGGGAATGATAAAGAACAATGATGAATCTGTGAAGCATCTCACAACATGGATGAATCTGGAGGGCATTATGCTGAGTGAAATAAGTCAATCACAAAAGGACAAATATTGATGAGACCACTATTATAAAAACTCATGAAAAGGTTTACACACAATAAGAAACAATCTTTGATGGTTATGGGGGTGGAACGGAGGGGAGGAAAAAACACTAAATAGACAATAGATGAGTGGTAACTTTGGTGAAGGGTAAGACAGTACACAGTACTGGGGAAGCCAGCACATCTTGTCCAAGGCAAGGTCATGGAACCTCCATAGACACATCCAGACTCCTGAGGGACTGAATTACTGGGCTGAGGGCTGTGGGGACTGTGGTCTCGGGGAACATCTAGCTCAATTGGCATAACAGTTTATAATGAAAATGCTCTACTTTCTACTTTGGTGAGTAGTATCTGGGGTCTTAAAAGCTTGTGAGCAGCCATCCAAGATACTCCATTGGTCTCACCCCGTCTGGAGCAAGGGAGAATGAAGAAAACCAAAGACACAAGGGAAGGATTAGTCCAAAGGACTAATGGACTACAACTACCACAGCCTCCACCAGACTGAGTCCAGCACAACTAGATGGTGCCCACCTACCACCGACTGCTCTGACAGGGATCACAATAGAGGGTCCTGGACAGGGCTGGAGAACAACATAGAACAAAATTCTAACTCTGTCTCACACACACACACAAAAAGACCAGACTTACTGGTCTGACAGAGATCACAACAGAGGGTCCTAGATAGGGCTGGAGAACAACATAGAACAAAATTCTACACACACACACCCACACACACCCACCCACCCACCCACCCGACTTACGGTCTGACAGACTGGAGAAACTCCGAGACTGTGGCCTCCGGAAACCCTTTTAGCTTAGTATTGAAGTCACTCCTGATGTTCACCCTTGTCAGCCAAAGATTAGGCAGGCCCATAAAACAAAAGGAGACTAAATGGGCACACCAGCCCAGGGACAAGGACAAGGAGACAGGAAAGCTGGTAATGGGGAACCCAAGGTCAAGAAGGGGAGAGTGTTGACATGTCGTGGGGTTGGCAACCAGTGTCACAAAACAATATGTGTATTTAATTGTTTAATGAGAAGCTAGTTTGCTTTGTAAACCTTCATCTAAAGTACAATTAAAAAAAAAAAAAGTGGGCAACTCCTGCCCAAAAGCAAAGATGAGAAGGCAGGAAGGGACAGGAAAACTGGACAAATGGACATGGGGAACCCAGAATGTAAAGGGAAAAGAGAGTATTGACACATTGCGAGGATTGCAACCAATGTCACAAAACAATTTGTGTATACATTTTTGAATAAGAAACTAATTTGCACTGTAAACTTTCAGCTAAAGCACAATAAAATTTAAAAAATAGTGCTGGGAAAATTGGATTTCCACATGCAGAAAAATGAGACAGGATCCATGCATCACACCATATACAAAAAATTCAAAATGGATTAAGCACCTAAATGTGCAAACGAAAACCATAAAATTCTTAGAAGAACAAGCAGGGGTAATGCTGTCAGGCCTAGCTTTCAACAATGGTTTATCTAATAACAAAAGCACAAACAGCCAAAGCATAAATAAATAAATGGGACCTCATAAAAATTAAAAACTTTTGTTCATCAAAAGACTTTACCAAAAAAGTGAAAAGACAAGATACTGACTGGGAGAATATCTTCGGAAACCATATATCGGACAAGAATCTAATAACCAAACTATCTAAACCTTAATCAACTTAACAAAAAACCATAAAATTGGCTAAGGACTTGAATAGACATTTCACCAAAGAGGACACTCAGATGGCCACCAAACACATGAAAAGATGCTTAGCATCATTAGCCATCAGAGAGATGCAAATCAAAACCACAATGAGATACTATTTCACTCCACTAGGGTGGCTAAGATTAAAAACAAATGTTGGCAAGGATGTGGGGAAATTGAAACCCTTATCCATTGCTGGTGGGAACACAAAATGGTACAGCTGTTATGGAAAACAGTGTGGCGGTACCCAAAAAAACTAAAAATAGAAAAGACCCAGCAATTCCACTCCTAGGTACTGTGCTTTTACCCAAATAATGTGAGCCTTCCATGTCTGCCAACCACTCCCTCCCCTCACTATTTTTACAAGCCTTGCTATGCCATTTTTTTAATGTTGCTGTAAAAAAAAATTACCACAGAGTGCCAACAAAAATACCTCGTGGGGGGAGGGAGCAGTTGGCAAACAAACACAGAAGGTGCATGCTATTTGCATAAAATACAGTGTATATCCAAAAGTCTTGAAAGCAGAGACTGAAAAGGAGATTTGTACACCAGTGCTCATTGCAGCACTAGTCACAATAGCCAAAAGGTGGAAACAACCTAAATGCCCATCAACAGATGAATGGATAAACAAAATGTACCTATCGTATTTTTATGCAAATAATGCATGCCTTCTACATTTGTTTGCCAACCACACCCTCCCCCCACAAGGTATTTTTCTAAGTGTGCTATGCTAATTTTTTTTTTTTACAACAACATGTAAAAAAAATGACGTAGCGGTGCTTACAAAAATACCTTGCAGGGGGAGGGTGCAGTTGGCAAACAAAGGTAGAAAGCACACGTTATTTGCATGAAAATATGGTACACACAATGGAATACTACTCAGCCAGTAGGAGAAATGAAGTCTCGACACATGCTACAGTATGGATGGAGCTTGAAGACATTATGCTGAGCAAAATAAGCCAATCACAAAAGGACAAATATTGTATGATCTCACTTACATAAAGACAAGAAAATGCAAATTTACAGAGACCAGAGTTTATTAGTGGTTACCAGGATTGGGGGTGGGGGGTAGGGTGGAAAAGGGGGGTTAATGGTGATGGAAAAATCACATTAAGGGTAGGGTTCCACAGCTGATTATTTTAATTCCTGTTAATATGTTGTACACCTGTAAAAAGTTGAATTGGCAAAAGCTGTGTGATAGATTTACAACAATGACCAAAAAAAAAAAAAAAAGAGTAGCTGCTGAGCTGCTTATGTACAACTAAACACCTCATAAGATTTGCTTCCTTGGTATGGAGGTTTAGGATCATGGTTTCATGGAACATCCCAGTTAACTGGCCTAATAACGTTTAGTGCTTCTGTTCTACCTCCTAGTTTGTTGCATAGTGCCTGGGATCTTAAAAGCTTGCAAGTGGACGTCCAAGGCACAGCAATTGGTCTCCATTCACCTGGTGCAACCGACGAAGGAGAGTCAGGAATAGGAGGAAGATACGGAACGAGCGTAGCTAACTGCCTCTTTTGCCACGGGACCAGGAGAACTGGATGGTGCTTGGCTACGATCACTGAACATTTTGATCAAAGATTCCATAGAAGAATCCTCATCCAAAGGGGGGAAATGCAGAACATAATTTCAAATTTTCATGGACTCTAGACTTTCTGGAGGCAAGGGGACTGGATGAACCCCTGAAACTATTGCCCTGAAATAATCTTTAAACCTTAAACCAAAAATACCGCCTTAAAACCAAACAATAGGTTAACTAGTAAAAAACGTCTGCCTTGAGCATTATGCTCTTTTAAGAACTATATGGGATCAAATTGACAACAGCTACTCAAAAGATTAGACAGGAACTTAGGAGGCAGTGAGTTTATGTTAATGAGGGAGGAACAACTCAGAAAAGGAGGGTGAGAATGGTTGCAGAACTCAAAGAATGTAATCAACATCACTAAATTGTACGTGTAGAAACTTAAATTGGTGTATGTTTTGCTGTGTATATTCTCAGTAACAACAAAATAAAACGTAGGGAAAAAAAGTTTCAGACATCACCAAATACTTCCTGTGGGGCAAAACTGCCCCTAGTTGAGAACACTGGCTTAAAGCACTTTGAATGGCAGAATAATCTGAAGACACTTTATGAATGAAATTGAATAGATATTTTGATCATCATTTACAAATGTTGCAGGTACAGAAGTTAATTTAAATATTTTTAAAAAATTAATCTAAACCCAGCATTTCCTAAATTGGTGGTTCTTAATTTTTTTGACATCTATAGTAAGATATGTTATTTGATGACCCATACACGTTCGTTTATAATATGTACATAAGTGTATATGTCACAATACTTGCCCTTACATGTTATGCACGGATACCTTCTATAGTGGTTTTTTTGGGTTTTTTTCCTTAATGCTGGTTGTGACCCACTAAATTGAGTCTATGATCCACAAGTGGATTGCTTTCCATTGTTT